GGTACTGGGAACACAGCCGTGAGCAGAGCAGACGGCAGCCCCTCGTGGAGCTGACGGCTAGTGGGGGACACTGTCCTGGAGAAGCAAACAGATGTCTGAAGCAGGGGCGGCAGGGACACAAGCCTTTTAGGGACCTTAGAGAAGACGCCTGGATGGAGTCTGAGTCCCAGGCCCAGGCGCATCCAGACTAGTGACAGCTGATCGAAACTCCAGGACAGGCCGAGGACTGCAGGCTTAGTTGGTCCCGGCACTGCAGCCAGACAGACGGTGCCCCTGAGATGTAGGTGGGGATGACGGGGTCCCAGCCTGGCCACTGGCTGAGCGAAAGGGCCCCAACTCAGGAGATGGCCAGGAGTGGGCACAGGGTCTGTTCCCCATGGGGGTTGGGTGGGGAGGACGGGAATTTATGTAAACCGGGGATATTTTAAGTGTAAGGATCCTTAGCTGGACCCCCAACCCCCCCCCCCCCTTTCCGGGCTGAGCAGTGATTCTGTCTGCTTGAGGCTCTGTCCTGCTCATCCCTGTGACAGAGCAAGTCTCCTGGGGCCAAAGCAGCAAATGGCCACGAACTGGGTAGCTTGACAACAAATTTATTCTCTCACAGTCCTGAAGTCCAAACTCAAGGCATCGCCAAGGCTGCGCTCCCTCTGAAGGCACTAGGAGGGAAGAGTCTGTGCCACGCGCACCCTTCTTAGCTCCTGGCGCTGCCGGCCATCACGGCTTACGGACGCCTCACTCCAACCTCTGCCTTCGTCGTCACGTGCTGTTCCCTGGTGTGTCTGTGTCTTCACCTGGCCTTCTTATAAGGACACCAGTCCCTGGATCAGGCTCAATACGACTTCATCTTAAACCGATTATATTACGAAAACTACACCCAAACAAGATCACCTTCATGGGTACCAGGGTCAGGACCTAGATGTGGTTTTGAGAAGACATGATTCAACCCATGACAAACGCTCACACCCAGGCACATCTCCGACAAGGACTGTCCCCGTGGGGACAGTGACAAAGCCTGAGGTGGGACTTAGTACTTGGACATCTCCTGAGTGAGCTGTCAGTCAGGCAAGTGTGGGCAACAGGCAGGGGGCCGGGGCCTTTTCCATCTGTCACACCCACCCAGAGCTGCGAGCCTGGGACCCCATCCTCGGAAGCGAAGACGCAGCCTGCGTACCAGGCAGCAGTGGTCACTGGGCACCGACCCTGAGCAGCCCGGCCTGAGTTGCCACACCTGTGCTCCCTCCCTTCTGCACCCCCCACCCCAGCTCCCCCAGTGCAGAAGGCACCGCTGGATGAAGGGACTGGAGCTTTAGAGGGAGGAGCACCCGCCCAAGGTCACAAAGGATGGGACCAAGATCTACCTTAGGGCTGATCCCCCAACCCATCCTGCCACATGGACTGAGAGAAGCAGGGAGAGGACCTCTGTCCAGGCCATGCTGGCCCCTGCAGTGCAGCGGCCATCAAGTGGCATCTGCACCATTGGGAATGCTTTTGGTTGTCATTATGGAAAACCCAGTGGCTTAAACATTTTGGGGGGATTTTGGTTGTCATTATGGAAAACAGTGGCTTAAACATTTTGGGGGGATTTTGCGTATGTAACAGGGAGCCCGGTTGTTGTCATTGGTGTAGCACAAATTTTCTCAGTCTTGGCACTATTGACATTTGGGGGTGTCCTGCACACTGCAGGAGATTCAGTGGCTTCCCTGACCTCCACGTCCTAGATGCCAGTAACGTTTCTTCCCGTAAGCAGTGACAATCAAAAATGTCTCTGGATGTTGCCAAATGACCCTAGGATTAATTGTGTCAGGACTGGTTGGTGTCTGTGAGTCTCTTGCTCTTTGTCTAATGGTCACAAGATGGCTGCTACAACTCCAGACATCCCACCCATGTTCAGAGTGGAAAGAACAAAGGGCTAATACCAGCTACAACTGCCTCTTGGCAGGAAAGTGGAAACTTTCACAGAAGGCCTGCAGATTTCCATTTCGGTCTTACTTCACTAACCTCTCTGAGGTCCCACCTGCCAAGCCCTCAGAACAGAGAAAGGCCTCCTTCTGGGCCGTGGGCAGGACAGAATGGAATCATGGATCAGCTAGCCATTTGCTGTCCTCAGTGGCCTCGAAGACACTCTGAGTTTCAGTACCCGCCCTCTTAAAACTGGGCTAGTAGTGCCTACCTATGACAAAGGCTGTTTTGAGGTTACATCGCCTAACTTCTGTAAGTAACCCAGTCAAGGACCTGGCCCCTGAAGGGCACTCCGGGGCAAACGGCCTTTGTTATTATTAGTGGCATGTGAGGATTAACCACGCCAGAGCACCCTGTACTCAAAAAGTTTCCAATAAATGTTGGTGGCTGTATCGCCCACCTCGGAGCCTTGTGAGCCTACTCACAAGGCTGTGGCTCTCACCAATTCCCAGAGGCCTTCCCCGACTCTAAGGCAGCGGTCCCCAACCTTGTTGGCACCAGGGACCGGTGCTCCTATGAGAATCTAACACCTGAAGATCTGAGGTGGAGCTGAGGCGGTGATGCTGGCGCCGGGGAGCCGCTGCAAATCCAGAAGCTTCCCTGGCTTGCCTCCTCACCGGCGGCTGGTTCCTAACGGACCGTGGGACTGGGCCGGTCTGTGAGCCGGGGGCTGAGGTCCCCTGCTTCAAAGTATACCTGTCACTCTTGACCTTCTCCCTGCCTGGGAATTTTACTTAAATGTGGTAGTCTTTACTCCTCCTAAAATGGAAGCTCTTGGCGAGAAGCGGGGAGGCACGTGTGTTTCCTGCTTGCGGTACCCCTGGGGCCCAGACCCTAACCTGCCCCCGATGGGCCATTACATTAATAAATACGTGTTGGATGAATGGCTCCCAGGCAGAAGTTGGCGACACGTGGAGCCACCCGACGGGCGGAGGATCGGCGATGCCGAAACCTAAAGGGTCAGGGCATGAACGAACGAGTAAAGGAACCGGAACCTGGGCACCGCTTTTTAAGTCACTCCGCCCCCCTTCCGGGCCCAGCAGAAGCGCGAGGTGCACGCAGCAAGTCCGCCGCCCCGGGGTGGGTCAACGCCCCGCCCAAGTCCTGCGCTTCCCCCTTTTCAGGCCCTGCAGCCCCGCAGCGGGCTGCTGCCCCGGGTCGGGGTCCTTCGGGACACTTCGGGAGCCCCCGCGCTCCCGCGGCGTTAGCACGTGCTCCGCAGACGTCCGCCGCGGGCCGGCAGCCGCCCTCCCCAGAGGCGCCCTCCCTGAGCGAGCGCGTCGCCGGGGTGGGGGGAGGGCAGCGCCCGCGCGGGGCCCGCTGGGATTTGTAGTTCGGACGCTTTGGCCGCCAGCGGCCCCTCCTGGCCAAGACTGGGGACAGCCTCAGGCTCTGTCTGTCACGAAAGGGGAAACTGATGCCTGGTGAAAGGACACAGCTTGCCCAAGATAACGCGGCCGAGCGGTGGCCACCTTCCCTGCCCAACAAGTGTAGTTCACACTTTTTCAAAGTTTTCAAAGGGTGCTCTGAGGGTTCCTTGAGAGCTCTCCTGGCCTCCATTCCATCGTGCATTCACTCAACAAACGTTTCCCAAAGGCGCTCTGCTTGCCAGACGATGTGGTAAAAGCTCGGATGCAGGATTGTGCCCTGGCGAGTCGGAGGGACAGTGAGTGACAAGGGAAGGAAGAAATGAGATGAGACAGAAAAATATGTTCCCAGTAGGCTCTCTGAAGACTTGGGGTTCCATACCCAGCATGAGGGGCGGGGGTTTGGGAAGGAAGGCTCAGACTTCGGTGGCTGATGGGTGGAGAGTGGGGTCAGGAAGTCCAGAGGCTTGAGACAGTTTCACTGGACCCCGGATCGAACGCAGCCTGACAGAGAAGGTGCTGGCTAAACGCCTGAGTGACTCCTCTTAGAGCTGCAGCTCCAGACTACACGAGGTGTCAGAAACCATGGTGCCTGGACACGAGGAGGATGTGAGGCCCCCAGAGCTGGTCTGACACCGGTGTGGCCTGCTGGTGGGGAAGGCTGGCGCCACGGCCAGCTTCGAGGGTAGGGACCTGCACAGGTACACGGCCGGACTCCTGGTTCAGCGTTCTCCTGTCGGATGTGAAATTCCTAACTTTGAACAAAGGGGCCCTAGAAATTCTGTAGCGGGTCCTGCCTGGGACAGAGGCCTGGAGATAGGCCTGTTTTCTGTGGTTGGGGACAGGGACAAAGGGAACCTGGACAGCCTTCTGCTTGTTTTCCTCCAAAGGTGGGCCACAGGTGGAGGAATCCCCGACACCAGCTGTAGTCTGGGACAGACTTTTGAAGAGGCTGGAACTACTTCTCCAGTCCAGTCACCTTCTCTTTGAAACGTATGGAACCACTCTGACCTCTCCGCCACATCTTGATTTAATTTTTTCCGGATTATGTAGTATTTACTTGTTGAATTGTCTTATTCATAGCAGCTCCGTGGTGCTAGTGTGTTATGTGCATCCCTGCAGCCCCATGCCCTGATAAACATTCAAATTATCTATAGATAAAACAAAAATCATTTCACCTTTAATATGTGTTGCTGTACCTTAGTAGTACTGGGATAAATGTTGACTCAGTAATCATGATCTAGTAATCGTTTGCATCTGATTCGTTAGACTGCTCTCCACGAGGGCAGGGGCTTGGAACCCGGCGGGCAAGTAGTACGACCTCGGGAAAGATCTAGACCCGCGCCTTCTCCCCGCGCATCCCATCCTAAGGGATTCCCCAGGCTCAGGGGCGCGGCGGGGCGGGCCCGGGACTACGCTTCCCGGCGGCCCCCGCGCGTTCGGGGCGGGGCGGGGGCGGGTCCGAGG